ATTGACCAATCACAGTCGATTATTCTCCTCAAATTCAACTGTGATTGGTAAATTTTCCACGACCCACGTCCCACGACTCGCATTATTAAACAATTTTTGGCGTGACTCTGGTATAAGCAACCAAAGGGTACTAAACTGCACCAGAACGAATAGCAGCCACGGATAGCAACTTTGGTATATGTAACAAACCATACCAAACGATCGCTAAAAATCGCCTATTGTAGATCCAACATAATGGCTCCAGGGAGTCGACACGTCGACAAGAGTCGATTACGGTTTTTGAAATGAGGTAAAAATGGGCGCGTTCAGCAGACCAAGCCGCTCAGTAGCAGTCGAACGTGTTGGCTCTTACTTTTAGAACCAACCAATCAACGCAGTGTGTTGATAAGACGAACTCAACAGTTGTGTCTGTTGAACGTGGCCAATTACAAAAGTGAACAGATTCACTAGATTTCAACCAATGAAATCATAGAGAGCCATTAAAGCCCGGTGTCCACGATGCAAGAACTGTGTCCAAGTTTCGATTTAAGCCAATCAACTTGCAGCTCTTACAGAAAAGTAGCAGTTTTATTGGGTTAAACCGAAACTTGGACACAGTTCTTGCATCGTGGACACCGGGCTTAAAGTCCTTTAAGCCCGGGCTTAAAGTCAATGAAACTGCTGCTTTTCTGTAAGAGCTGCAAGTTGATTGGCTTAAACCGAAACTCGGACCGATTTCTAGTATCGTGTATACACAAGGCTTTACACATGCGCCCACATCCCACATGCGCCCGGTGCCCGCGGTGCCGTTCGCCGTTTCTGTCTTCGCTGATCGATCGCTCTTTGCCTTTGCTCCTTCCAGCAGTTCCACGTTCTTTCCTTTTCCGCTTTCAACTTCAAACAACCGAACTTCCTGTCTTCCTCCTGCCCCTCTCGTTGGTCTGTGGTCTGTGGCCTGCTGTGGCCTGCTGCCCAAGTGCCAAGTGCCAGCTCCGCCGCAGTCTCTGCTGATTAAATTGGTTAAGGAAAAACGTGTTATCGTTTGTCAGGATGCAGGTGCCACCAATTTTCATGGAGTTACCGTTAGATGACCAGGTAAATTTGCAAAATTACAAAGCAGGTGGTTAATTGGCTTAGGAATTGGCTTAATACGCACGCAGCACGTCGTATGAGAGACGTCTTCTCCAATGTTTTTAGGTTATTTTATGTTGGCTTAGTTTACATCGATCACTTGATACGCGTATTAAATTGGCCAATTATCTCAAATATACTACTTAACAATTAGCATTACTTACATACTAATTACTAAATTGTTAAATATTATTATATGCTTGTTAGGCGCAAGAACTGAGAGTATATTTTAAAAGTCTTGGTGCAGAAATTAGCGAAGAGAAATCTCCTAAAGGTATAGAGGATGATTTGCATAAGATTATTGGAGTGTGCGAGGCATGTTTCAAGGAAGGAAACGAAAGTGAGATAGAAACTGTATTGAATGACATTGTTTCTATCATGATTCTGGCAAGTTTTCACATTTCACTCTCGAACTTTTCTCTTTATTTCTATATAATTAAATGTTAATTTTCATTCTTATTTTTCTTTCTATTTCCGTTATTTATTTTATTTCAGATACCCACGGAACGTGCTGAAAATTTAATTTTGGCATTCTGTGAGAAACTTGTAAAAGCACCTGGATACAAACTCGGATTGGTTTGCTTAAAAGCGTACGACATTGTTAATTTTTATAAAACCAATATGCAACATATTATTATTATTATTTTTCAATATAACTTTTTTTGCAGTTTATGGCTCTTATTTCAATCTCTTGCCGATGATTCTCCAATGAGATACCACGTTTATTATCACTTGGTACAAATAGCCCGCAATGTTGATCAAGTAAAAGCTGTGTATAGCGGAATAGATCAATTGAAGCAACAGTTTGCCTCCTTTCCTCCATCGAACGAACAAATGCAAAAGTTGTTGCGTTTGCTGCACGAAGTTCTTTTAAGCTGCAAACAAGGGTATGGCTCGTATTCTCTCTTTTGCTCCCTCACATGCGTGCACACGCGTACATTGAACGCACCGTTGAGTGATGTTAGAGATATTTCTGGTCTATGTAAAATAAAAGAAATGGTCTAATATGTGTAAGATGGACGAGGTTTTCGTATGCAGAATTATTTCTTCTCTCTCTCTCTCTCTCTCTCTCTCTCTCTCTCTCTCTCTACAATCATTTCCTATATTTTACAGTTTAGAAATAATCGTCAATACAAATATTCGTGGATATATTTTACATCTTCAATATCTGTCTGTGTAATTCTTTAGAGAGCAAGCGGCAGCTGTCATGGTGGAATTGTTGGGAACTTATACAGCGGAGAATGCTTCCGCGGCTAGAGAAGACGCACAGCGTTGTATATTAGCTGCGTTAGCGGATCCAAATACATTTTTGTTAGATCCACTTTTGGCTTTGAAACCTGTGAGATTTTTGGAAGGCGAATTGATACACGATTTGCTTCTTGTATTTGTGCAAGATAAATTACCAGCGTATTTGCACTTCTATCAAAATCACAGAGAATTCGTCGAGCATCAACTTGGTACCTAGCTTAATACCTAATCTACGTGTAACGTAGACAATGTAAAATACCAAGTTTGTTTAAATGGGGGAACAAATTTCATATAATTATTAAAAATACCACTTTTTTTTTCTTTCGCAGGATTGAACCATGAACAAAACATGAAGAAAATGAGGCTACTGACCTTTATGCAACTTGCAGAGACAAATCCAGAAATGTCTTTTGATACGATACAAGAGGAATTGCAGATTGGTGAATCTGAAGTGGAAAGCTTCATAATTGACGGTAAGCTGTTTTTACTTTTTAAATTTTCATTTGCACGAAATGACACGTAACCAGATCCTGCCAAAACAACATAGTTTCCACTGTTACTCATTTAAGTGGCGACTTACTTTTAACAGGATATATTAAATGAATCCGTACTGACTTAGTGTAGACGTATATTTTCACTGAGTTATCGAGACATTCAACAGTTTTGTTGCTACTCGAGAAACAAGCTCTTAAGAGAGAGAGATGCGTAGTGTTGATCATCGTACGCGTGTAATATTCTTACAAGGTGTAGATAATTGTTCCGATCTCATTTGTTCTAGTTTTAAAAACCAAACTTGTGAGAGCGCGAATGGATCAGGCCGGCCGTAAAGTATTAATTTCAAGCACGATGCACAGAACGTTTGGTCGTCCGCAATGGATGCAACTACGAGATTTACTTGTATCGTGGAAAGCTAATCTTTCGGCTGTGCAGGATGGCATGAAGACTGTAGCCGCTGCGCAAATGGAGCTCGCTGCAAAGAATAAAGCTACCCTTGCTCACTGACATTATCGAAAAATTTCATACAGATGTACATGATTATTCGTGAGAATACTGTAAGTGATCAAAAGCTGAAATTTTTTCCGAAATACAACAGAAACTCGTCGAGTCTAGCTACAAAAGAAATGCAGCTGAAAATTAATGGCAACAACTTATACCACAGTATCAGCTTGTACAACACAAAAACTGTTAAATAGAAAATTTTTGCATACGTTTAAACGTACATTTACATATTTATCATACAAAAGCTAGATTCATCGTATAGTTACGCGTCTCTCAGCCTTTTTGTTAACAACGTATCTCCGTAATAACCCGTAATAATAAAATAAACAATCTGATTTAAATTTATCACAATACGTAAAGCATATTAAAACGTGATTCAAGATGATTGATAATTTTACACATTCGTACGTATTTATAGCATCGAAATATATCTATATACATGATCAAATCGATATATTTCACAAAGGATA